TTACTTATGTATTAGGTGATGAAACTTTTAAAACCGAATTACGGGACATCAAATATTGAAATAGATAAATGCGAGTACATTTTTAAAACGAGTTGAAAAAAAAATATTGTGATTTAGGTAGTAATAATTATAAAAGCAAAACTATATAACGATTGATAAGAGAAGGTTAAACTAATAAATTGTGTTTGTCAAATTGGCTTTTGTTTTAGATATAATATTATTCTAATTTATTAACAGCCTTACCGAATTAAATACTTTGAATGTAATTCTCAGTATATAACCATTATACGTAATCCAATAAAATATACATGTGTCTTAAAATGTTAAACAGATAGTTTTGTGTGTACCCATTAGTTTATACCAATAATTATTATTCTGGTAATTTGTATTTTATTTAATATTTTATGATATTAGATAATAAGAATAATGACATGGATAATTATGATTTGTGACTTACCACTTACGAGTTAGGACTTGAAATTAATGTCTCAATTGACAATGAATAAATGTTAAATGTTTAATTCACTGTTCGTAGAACTGTCTGAAATTAAGATTCTACGTAATTTTTTTTTTGTGGTGCCTTCGAATGATACATAATAATATAATACTCATAAGTACCTATATTTCTTCGAAACTATCTACAGAAGTTATAGTTAATAGATATTACTACAGACAGTTTTCCCTATTCGAATTATTTAGGTACTCATTTGTTAAATATAATAATATCACGATTCTAACCGTAATGATACACAAAATACCATGTAATAGGAACAGAAACGGATACAGTCGTTATAAAAAATACCATATAGATATAATGTGTTTTTTTACATTGTCCAAATAACCATATTAACTCAAACAAAACAAGTGTTTCATTTAATTAAAAAAAAATAATCTATTAAAATGATTTATGACTTTTGGTTTCATCACTATCGACAATATTTACCATTAGAAATCAATTTAAGAACAAAATGGTTATATATATATATACTATATTATAATGATTTCTTGTAGCTTTATACGGGTATTTTATTATAATTTAAGATAGATACCTACATTGATATTATTTTAAGTGTCTATTCACCGTGTATGTCTGTTTAGTCTACGCGTCATACTGCACTGAAATATTAATGGGTTTTTAATCGTTTATTTAAAAGTTCACAATGACACGTTGTAACCTCGATAGGTACATAAAAGTGTACTGTTACAATTCTCGAAACACAGGCTTACGCGTACGTTATTGGTAGACAATAAACCGCTGCAGGGAAATTGAAATTAATGCATCTCTTTAACAATTTACAACAAAAAAGAAGGGTGGTTCTCGTTTGAAGAAACAAAAAAGTTTGTTTCACCTACGCGCTCCTTAATAATTGCATAAATATTCATAACGATCTGAAAATATGGTCCTTAAGTATATATATAGTTTTTTAAGATGCAAAACATCATAGTTTGTTTGAAATATTCATTATAAAACGGAAAAATGGAGGTCGGGCAGCGAACACGCAGGTCGCCTGGTAAACAGAGTCGCAATTATACAATTTATTGAAGCAGCTCGGAACCTCGAACCAAATCGAAATTTCCGTCGTGGGCGAAAAATTTCGCAAATACAGGTAAGTATATACGTAATACAAAAGCAACAATGGATGCTTTGGAGAATAAAATAACAAATAGAGGATGCACTTTTCGGCCTTCACACGATAACCTACGTGTAGCCTATATACTACCTATAGTATTTATGTCTTATACACAATATTGCCGCAGTTGTATACAAAGGTTGGGTATATTTTTTACCACGAATGATGTAAAAGCACAATGTCCAAAGGGAAAGCCCTCGTTTCTGGCATCATGTAGTATACATAATTTATAATAATATATAGAAGGGTCACGACGTCACGGAAAACCGGCCCACCACGAGTGACTCCACAATAGGACGTGCAGCAGCGTACGACCTGTGGTACGCTGCTTCAAAACGAGTTGTTATCGAGAAACGCGATCGACCACCGAAAACGAAAAAAATAACCTAAACAATATCACAGACATCGTCGTATTATTATTATAAGAGAATGACCATAGGACCATAATGTAGGATATCATGTAAATTTTACACGGATTATACGTCGTGTAAAGTTCCCCGTCGAGGGTCACGAACTCGGTCGGACGACGCGTAGAAGACTGTTGTTATATAGATACCTGCGCGTCGTGTTTACCCTCTTGAAATGACCCACTTTTTTTTTTTAATACAAATAAATTCGAGATGAAGGAAGTCTGCACATCGTGTCGTAGACTGAAGAGGAATGAAAGCAGATGTATAGACAAATGGTAGCATGAACGCGTACGCGTATAGAATACCGTAGAACTACAGCTATATATTATACATATATATATCATCGACACACTGAAATGGACACAGTTCAAATATTGTTATCCGAAAAAAAAACATTATTCTTTAATTGGTACGGCGTAGTACAAGGTAATCCATTTAAGTGTCAACACTCGTGGTTGAGTTTTGACTTTATTTGATGTCGTGTACAACGGCATTTTGAAAATAATAGATTTGTTCTAGCAAAAATGTTGATTTGTAACGACGTAAAATTATGAAGAAAAAAAATGTCAATGACCAAATTTTATCGAAAAATATTTTCATAAGTCAAAACTTTTCCAAATAAATATAGTGTAGACGTAGAGAGTACGACACTTAAATGGATCACCTTGTATTATAGTCATTAATCTTGTTGGAAAACAACAGAGAACACATTTTAATTGCAATAATCTCTACTTTATACATATATTGAGTATTATGTCAACCCCATTTGTACGAAACCTAATCACATTTCGTACAATAATACGCTGTCGAGACTTCGAGAGTCGAGACACACGACCTTATCCCGGTCGTCGAACGCGTAATGGAAATTATATATCTTACTAGTTGTAAAACAAGGTACCTACCTACCTAACTGTAATCTCGCTGCAGAATAGGTTGTACCTATATTCTTTGGTACACGTATATAAGAGGTACAAAATGGGTTGATGAATTAAAATGTACCACTGCAGCCAGTACGGCTGGCACCACCCGGAATAGGTACCCCTGCCTTCGTGTACACATATAATATTGTGTGGGCAAAACGCATTCGTGTTTAAAGAAAAAGAAAATATTATTGTCTTAGAAACAGTAATATAAATGGGGAAAAAATTTGAAATATGTTCGTAAGTAATTAAATAATTTAAGTCTTATAAATATAGGTAATAATAGTATATTGCGTATGAAGTTTTTGTAGTATAATATTGCAAGCTTTCATTTTGAACACGAGCTTAATCGTAAATAAAGTTTGATAAATTATGTCAAAGACAAATAGCAGGTTTAATTAAAAACATACAAAATTAGTAATTACAATTAGTATTACGAGTTCATATTTAATGTACACACAACACATTCTATACTATGAAATTAATGTATCGATATACATATAGGTAATTATAAAGCGTTTGCGTGTATACACGACGAATAGTCGGGAAAAAAATTATGCAAAAACATAGTTTCACTCGTGAGCAGTAATCTTTTGAAATATATAATGCGAATATATATATATAATGTAGGCATTATAGGTACTAAGCGTTTTCGCTGAAATTTGTTTCTCGCTTTTAAATTATCAACGTTTTTAATTCGGTTATTGTGAAGATATTATAAAATAAGAAGAAAAAATCAGTAGCAATATATTATAATAATCGATTGAGCGATTTGTAAACACAAATATACATTAGTACATTAAATGGTCGACAAACCGATAACCGCATTAAGTGTTTGGGAAAGTGTATTTCAACTGTGTACGGCTTCTGTGAAATACGCGTAGGCATATACAATGTAATGCAATTTTATACACAAAGAGCTGCACATTATAGCAGTATTTTAGGTCGTGATTAAGGTCTCGAAGATCGGACGCGATTCGAGAGCAACAACGATAATAACATTATTCATTATTATAACTGGTAGGTGGTATTCACCCACTGCCCACAAACTGACAATTTGAAAACATAATATAATGACAATGTCATAAAATATTTACTAGTTTCAAACGACATATTATACAACTCAACATAACCTAAACCAAACAAAATAACGACGATCGTCGACAAGGTTTAAGTGCTAGATCATCCCCTATCGTGTAGAGGACGTCGCAGGAGAGGGAAAAATCATTGTGCAACATTATCCTTCTCTTACGTGCGCGAGTAAATCGCACGTGCGCACGAAGCGACGGCGGCAAAATACATATTTTAAGCTACTACGCAATACCGCGGAGCGCCGGAGCCTCAGATGGATAGGGGTGCAATCGGTAATTCGATTAAGGACGGCACGCCGAAGGGATGACCGTTTCCGAAATCCAAAAACCCTGCCTGCAAAAACCAAATAAAAAACACACGAGGTAGTATCCGTGAGCCAGGCAATTAATTTTATACTTAGCGTGTTTAATAATAATATTTTAATACCGATATCGTACTTACAGTGTCTTATTAGTATAGGTACCTAAAATAACGACGTATGGGCGAAGGAGCTCACGGAGTGAGGTGATTAATGTGGCCATTGCCCGTCCACCCCACAAAAAAAAGGGATTTTGTTAACTACGGGCATGTTATTTAATATTTAATATAGCATGCGTAATATTGTTTTGCGGCTTATAATTTTTAGTTTACCTATAAAATAATTATTGAATAAAAGAGTGTCGATTATGCGGTGGAATGACTTATAATTCAAATACAATGAGATACGTATTGTCTCTTGTAGTATACTAAAATATTATGTAATAACAAGGGAGGTACTAATATTTGGCAATTGGATTTGAGTGTCGCCCAGAGTGGAATTTTATTTTCCGGGCGCTCTCGGACTCGACCTGACAGTAAAAAACACGTTCCGCCTCTGCAGATTTACATATAAGCTACGTAAAGGTGCAAATACGGAAGGTGACCGTTTTCCAGGACCAGGACGAGCTTATATAGGAGACGGTTATTACCTGCGCGGACGACGACGGCGGCTGCAGTGTCGTCTGTCGGCAAATCGCTGCGACAATTGCGGCGGCAGACAGTGTAACGGCGTCGGAGGTAGCTGACCACGTTAAGTCGACTCGCTGTCGGTGGAGACTCGACGAGGAAACGACGACGGCGCGACAGGAAACGGAAAAACGTTCGGCACGGATACGTGCGTGTGGACAATAAAGCGGACCGCAGCGGTGTGCGCGCGTCTGGTACGGCCAACAGCTGACGAATGAACACAAAACAACACGCGCGCCACAATGGGAAATCCTCTCCGAGCGACGGCGGCGTGTTGGATACTGCGCGCGGGGAGGCGAGGGGGGGGGAGCGCGACGCTACAGCACAGCGCGGCGCGGGCGTTCGGCTTGCGCTTGCGCAGTGCTATCGCCGTACGTACGTACACGGGTGTCGCGAAACGTAAACAACAACCGTCGCCGCCGCCGCCGCCGCCGTCGCCGTCGCCGTGAGAGGAGGATGACCTGCTGCTGCTGTTGCCGCTGGCCGCCGCCGCAGCTGAGCAGTGAGCACTCCACCGCCACCCCGCCGCCGCTCCACCGACGATCGATTGTGCGTGTGAGTGAGAACCACTTTCCCCTCACCACCCCTCCACCACCGCCAACCTATCGATTATGTTCCCCCTCTCGCGCGGTTACCGCCGGCCCAGTCGCATTATTGCGCCGTTCATAAACATACGGCACACGCGCGCAATCGTTATGGCTATTATTATTATTATTATTATTATTATTAAATCTGTGTCACGAATTTATTATTATGGTTATCGGGAAAAAAAAAAAATTATTCCGGCACACCCGCGCCACCAGTACCCCCCCCCCCTCCCCCCCATGACGAGTATAATCAATTAGGTACCTGCGAGGAGCTTGGCTTTGGTGTTGCAGGAGTCACCTACTTTCGATCAACGTACAAACTGTTGTTCTACATACGTACATATTATACAATATTATACACATACGCTCCTATTAGTTATAATATATAATATTATATTACAGTCTCTGTACATTTTGCGATTACCGCTAATTACCGTCTAAATATACCGCACAGTCCACGTGGCCCATACGGGTACGTTAAGCATTCGCTGGTACACCTATACTGACTATAGTAGTATAGTATACGTAAAATACAGTAAAAAACAAATACCTCTCCTTTTTAATGAAAACATAATATGTGTCCGAGATCTTCTGCGTATACCAGGCACCTGTAGGGGGGTTACCAAATGACGGTATGTGGACTAACTTTATGTCTAGATATCCGGCTCGCGAGAGACTTAATTTTTAAATCATTATTTTTGATGTTGAATTAAAATATGAGGTTTTTGGCGATTTTAATATAATATAATGTTTTGATTTCACATCGACTTTCTTTGGAAAAATATGTGCAAACTTCATATTTTGATGGCTTCTGAAATCTTCTGAACTTCCTAAGACCCCCGTTCAAAAATATTAATTGTTCATCTATATATCTTATTTGGCCGTTTGCGTTACAATATAGGAGATCCGAAGGCGTTCCAAATTTTCATTGGTGGTACTTGTGCCAGCTGCATAACATTATCTATAATATGTATATCGATCGTTGATAAACGATGATCCAACTGCAAGTCCTGCCTTTGCCAATCGGTGATAAACAATATAATTAAATATCTATACTCTAAAACGTGTGTGTCGTATAAAAAAAGCATAATATATTATTATTTTCTAATAAATGATTAATGTGGACATGTGGAGTAAGTACATTACACTATAATAGTAGGTATTATGATACATATTATGGATGATGGGTAGTGTCGTCATGAGCTGATGTTATAACGTTTTAATAATATGCAGTTGTCCGCTCCACTTCACACTAATTGTGCATGCGTTGGGAACTTGTGCCTATAATATCACAATAATAATATTATAGTACCCAATATATAGGTTCGATTATTGTCGTCGAGATCAAATTTCACGATGCCGCGTGCGCAAGTATTGAAAAAGACTCGCTCATTCGTCGTGATATATACATATAATATGTTATAAATTATAATATAAACCTACATAATATAGAAGGTCCCTACTCGACAGACTGCGGCGTAGGGTCACGTTTTCGTTGGTTTTTTTCCAAACGAAACAAAAACAAAAGCAGATAGGTAGGTACACCGTGCACTACATTATATTATTATGTATATTATAGTCGAATAACAACATTGTGTGTACATATATATATATAGACCTATAAGGCTATATAACCATATACTTTATGTACGTACATACTGCACGCACACATATTACAGTGTTATGTATATCCTAAGGCTATAAACAGTCACGTCGTCCCCCAGCAGTGTATATTATATTATAATGTGTATCTTTTTGTACATACACGACATGCATTGTATATGCATATTATGCACCTGAGCAGCTCGCTGCAGTCGTGATGAGTATTGTTGTAACGCTCATGTCTACAATGAGTTGAGTCCAAGTACGATGTACAATATGTATATTATATCGCACGCTATTGCGGTGACTCCATTTTCAACGAAATGGTTGTCATCGCGTAGTACCATCATAGTATAATAGTATAAAAATAAAAGTATTATACGAATACATAACTTGAGTATCCCTTCGAAATTTGGATTGATCATAAGTCATAACTAGTACTTATATTTAATTTTCTGCAAATTCATTACGTACGAATTATAATATTTTAATCGAGCAACGGGTATGTGTAATATACTAATATTATGCTCGATTTTCATTTTATTATTACAACCGAGCTGTTTTTAAGTTTTTTTCATTTCCAATTTTTAATCAAACAGCTCTATTTTTCAAATATAAAATATTTTTTTATTATATGCTCGTATTTTACTTACAATATTATTCTCACTATTAAAATGTATCAGGTATAATAATATACACTTGGAAATGTACGCAAATGCAATATAATATTATACGTTATAACAATTATTGTTATTTAACCCTGAATTATTTTGATCCTGCAGTTCGATAACAGCTTATTAATTTATGGGTCTTCGAAGAAAGTATACCCTCCAGTATGAATAATCGGGTCCATCTCTATGAGAGACCTGTGAATAATAAAAATCAGGTATGCGCGGGGAGGAGGTCTGAACATTTACAGAAGTCGAATGAATGCAAAGCTATACGATTTAAGGCTATAAATGAGGTAATCGTGCTTAAAATATCACCAAGAACAATTATTATGTTCACTGCAGTCTGCAGCGCTAATCAAAGACGAATTTAGTTGGAGAGAGGTCACGGCTCCTATATATAGGTGGCATTTTTTTAATATGGACATACTGCCATTCTCTAATCTTGTTGGAACTTTTTATTTTTATTAATCTTGTTATTATCTGCAGTCTTAATAATTACTATGCACTGATCATGTAACTATTGACTATTCTAACGCTAAAAGTAAAAACCACTGTGTCCTGACTCTTAGGTGTTGTGAACATTTTTATACTCATAATAAAATATCGGCACTCACGCTTAGAAAAATTCTACTTCGACATTTCAAAATCATTCTGAGGCTTAGCAACTGATTCGTAACCATGGGATTAACTATGACGAAAAATGTACACTTTTTGGTGCCAGAGTGTAACGCACCTTTTACTACTTTTACTAGTTTATCAAATAGAGGCAATAATAATAATTCATCTAATAGTCCTTATAAGTTATAATACATTAATTTTTATAATTTTTTAATTACTTATATATATACCATTTATTTAATGATTAATTTCGTGTCGATAGAGATTACACGTTATAGCTGCAGTCAGAGTAAAAAATTCATGGTTTGTGGGAATTTATAGTGCATATCAGATGATAGTGAAGCAAAAATTAAAAAAATTAAAAAATTGTTCATTAGTTCATTACTTACCTCAAAAGTCCAAGGGGCATGTTCATGAATACAAATATATAAATAAGCAATTAATGATTATTATTATTATATTACTTATTGCTTATAAATATCATATTGTATATTCGGTAGTTTAAAATGTAAATAAAGATGCAATTTAGAGGGCGGTTAAAAAAAACCCACTTTTCGTTTCAAAATTAAAATTTATTAAGTCCGAATTGCAGGCCAGGTGTAAAATATTCTGTCATTATTATTTATTTATTTTTAGACTTTATAATAACCCTTTTATAGTCTTATCTTATAGACTATTAAACATGGACGACCATGATGGGAATACCTACATAGCTGGATTTTCTTTCTATATTTCCCGTCCCGGAGACAGTGAAACATGTCGGTGTAGCGTCCCCTTACAACTATATAACAAAGAAGGTCTGGAACACACTCGTAGACCGTAGTTATATTATTATGCATTATACATTTATACGAGTACCTACATAATATATAAGAACGTTCGCCGGCATAATTTATAAAGGATCATTATATTATAATACAATTGCCACTTGTAGCCTTATTAGTTTTAATATTATTTACGTCTTACCATGACATTAGAACTGAAAAAAATAATTTAATGAACGCATGAGTTCAATGAACGTTATAATGAAAGTCATCAAAATTTTGCATGGCTCGTTGAAAAAATATGTCAATACATTGAAAATAAACTGCTAATCGATATAATTCAATACCGTTATATTGTATGGCAGTTGATACGACAGTTTTGCCGACCACAGTGATAAAATTAAAATTCCATTTTTGTGCATTTTCAACTATACCCGCAACAGAAACTGTTGTTTGTCAGGAAAATGTATTAGCAAGCAACAATCAGATATTTGATTTGATAAACACTTTTTTCTATAGGTTTATATTTATACAGCACCATATAAATGGTAAATGATATGATATTGTATCCATGTGTTTCTTATGTATGTGTATTAGTTTATGAACCTATATTGTGTACAATTATAAAATAATGAACAATTAAAAACGAATACACCAGACAAATTTTAATAAAATAATGTTGGGTCGAAGTTAGGGTAAATCTATGTACACATAGTAATTCACCAATCATGCTCACTCTCCTGAATGATAACTTTTTAAAATTGCAGTAAAACTCTTTAAACTATATAACGAATCGAAACTATTCAAAATATAGTCCTGAAGTATACCTATTCAAAAATTTCAAAATCAAAATGTTTATATGTCATACATCATTAAATAAAAAAGTGGGAGTGCGCATGCTTGATGATTTTGTTGGATTGCTGGAGCCGTGTTAAATAGTAACTACAGTACTCACTATTAATAACTCAAACAATAGAATAGATAAAATAGTTATGATTTGTATAATACTTCTTTCTTCTCATAATGTTTTAATTAATATCTTAATTATAATTATCATCTATATATATGTGGTACCTATAAATAAATATATGTATATATATAATAGTAATATGATCTATTGACCTCATAAGTTATAATAGGTAACACTAAGTCTTACCCATTACAGGTTACATAACACTTAATGTGACAACCCGCAGGTGCCATATTATAATCTAACTAGGTATCAGACGAAATCGAGACTTAACAATTGACTTGCTCAGTTGTTGAAACTGCAGTTCAGAGGTTTAAAACGCATATTGAAAGTATAAATTACATCAATTCGTTTGCAAATTAATAAACTGTGGTTCATTAATTTCTATGGTCTGGCTATTAACAACAGTTTTTTTAAATTAATTTTATTTTTCAAATGGCATTTGTTAACCTAAATCAAACTAATGAAAATCGTACGCATGCACAATGACGGAGATGACCAACCGATATATACAGCAATGTACTCTGTTGGCTGCAATTTGCCATTTGTAAATGATTTCCCCGCTAAAAAACTCAAACCTAAATAACAATGATACTGTGAAAACACAAAATAATAATATTCAACGTTCACAATCGTATTACATTAAAAGCCTGCAGGTAGGTGTTTATTGTGACGTATCGTGATACAATACCCTTCGTGGCTTCATTATTCATGTATCATTATATTTATTATAGAAATCGAAAATATTTAGTGATTTGAAAATGTCACATCATTAACATAAACTGATGTGTAACTGTGCAGGCACTCAAGTAACGAAAAAGTACATTATTATAATATTTATACTAAGTTCGATAATAGCCATAATATAGGTGTATTATAATAATATAATATATAATATATATAGGTAAATAAGTAAATTCACTCGTTTACATATCATTATTTAGTTAAAAACTACTCACCATCACTTGGTATAAATTATTCATATTATTGTGTATTAATAAATAGTTTTTTGAACTTAATAGTTTTATGTAGGTGCCTACTAAGTACGATTGTGTTTTTTTTTTTTTTGAATAGCACAATAAAATTTAATATATGAGTGTGAATGTGTAAAATGAATAAAATAGCATACCACGGAAATAATAATAATAACGGCCATAAAATATTCAATGCAGTTTCATTTTGTAACATCGTGCACGCTGTACGGTGACATTTTTGGTGTTTGGTATGTTGCCATTTCCCGAAAGAAGACATTATAACATTCTAGACATATAAAATGAAATAAATGTATGCACAATACTTAGATACCTACAATAATATTAAAATTTATATTTATTTTTTCGACAATAATATAAAAATATAACGGTAAAAATGAGATTAAAACAACGATTGACGTGATATTTTGTAATAATAATAAAACGTCATCTAACGGCTAATAATACTTAAATATATTATATAATATTATACTTGTACCATAACGATTTTCTAACGACTACCTATGTATTCTCTACTGCGTATATTGAATTGAATTAAAATAAGTATGTATAATATATACGAATACGATAAACAAAACAAACAACATATTATTATAATACCTGCGTATTAAATACATACTCAAATATGAATAATGATATGATTCGCTTACTAGTTGAAAATGTCCGTTCGTATTGTCATCCCAGCTATTGTGCGGTTTTCAAATTTTGTTTTAATTAGTTAAACTTGTATTATATTATCATAATAACTTTGAGATTTTTGAAAAAAAGTTTTAGGAGCACAGCTGCAAGATATTATAGGTGTCCTTAAGCGGAGTGATAGCCATTAACCTCCAGCAACCTTACGATACACTACCAAATTAAAGCGACACCAGGGTTCGTTTAACTGTATGTGTATAATTTGGAAAAAGTTCTCTTTCTCTTATAAATAAAAAACAGTATGTGATACTCTAAAACATATGCAAAATTACAGTACAACAACTAAATCAAATTTGTTGTTAATTGTGGTGGTAATATGTGAACATTTTTTTTTCTTACGTTTTTTTTAAAAACGCTAGAATTTACTGAGAAAATGAGTGTTTTCCGTTAGATAAAACCACCTTGTAACGCTAAATTAAAATAACATGCATTTTCGCATTAGTGAATATAATAATAATAATAATATTATAAATTATAATATAATTATGTGCATCAGCGTTGTTGCTCAAGTCGTGTTGCGTTTGGCCCGGCCACTAATAATGTGGTGCCAGGGTCATGTACCTGTAGTTGTTGTAGTCGTACTACAGTGAGCGTTACAGTGAGCATCCGAGAGAGTGACCTTGAAGGAGACGCACGCATACGAATTATATTATATTTTACAGTTGTTGGCAACGGTGGACGAGACTCGATATCGCAATCGGCGGTCAACTACGTGAATATGAAAAAAAAAACTAAAATTAAAAACAAAAATCCAAATACCTACCATTTTACTACCGGCCATATCATATTCATATATTGTTAAGGACCTGTCACGCGCAATAACCGCGATGTTTATTATTCCGTACTTCGGTAGGTGCCTCCATGATACACAGTGCCTATGATATTATTTCACAGTGCTGCTGAAGAGACTTGAGACGATTAAATTTACAGAAAAATGTTCGTGGGTCCAGTGGTTTGTACATATTTTGTTTCAGAATTTTGTACATAAAATATTGTGTACTTGCTCTTTTGATTTATGTGTACACTTAAATGTGCGCTCAGCACTGTATGCATTACACATTTTCACGTAGGTACCTATACGTTATATTTGTGGTTATTTGGGATATTCGTCTTATTCCAATAGTGCGCCGGTAGTGGATGGGTGATTGTGGGTCAAGCACTTTGGATAAAAAAATAAATACGAGTACCTGGAAAGTTTTACACTTATAACAAATTTGGGATGTAATAGAAGAGCTTCTCAACATCTTAAGAGATCAGTGGTTATAACTTATATTATTGTTTGAAGAAAAGCTCAGAGAGGCTTAGTATTTCTTGAGAATTTACACCCTCAAAAACTTGAGGATAATGTCATGCGAAATGACGCATTACGAAGCAAGTCATCCCCATTTCCCAACACACTTGTGAAGAGATTATAATATGTAATAAAATACGAAAATATGATGTATATTATGCTCAATGATCAAAATCCACTCACCCAACAATATTAAATCTGAGCCTGGGAGGCCGTTGCAATGCGTAGCTGCAGACGAATCTACAGTCCATTTATTTTGGTATTTAATTTGTAATAATAGTTATGAAATGTAGAGCCGTAATATACCTCTGGTCACAAAACGATATTTTTACTTGTGATTTGGGAGAACAATTGGGAACACACGTTTTGGTTAACATTTCTTAAAGACCAAAAACGAATACAACGTTTGGGTACATCATATTTTTAAAATAATACCAGATTTGGCTACCAACATTTAGGTACAATTTATTTTTTTTTACTTTATAGATCCTTTTACCTAACCTTACCCAGGAGACACCACGAGGAATCTCCTGCAATCATTTTTTTTTTAACTTAAAATTGTTATTACATATTGTTTAATTATTATAGGAAATAATTAGGTCATTCATAATTCATTACAAAAATATTAAATCTATTAAAATTGAATTTTATTTATTTATCCAGATTTATTTTTTTTCCGACAAACGTTATCCGGTACCATATAAATATTTTATTTATCATTGTCAACTTTAAGCTAATGGCAATTTTTTAAAATATATTCAACATTATCTGAAGCCTTTTTTCTATCTAATTGTACCCAAACGTGTTGGATTTGGGTTAATGTGCCCAAATGGTTTGCTTCCAAATTTAGTTATAAAACTATATATTATGTATCTGCCTATACAGCGCAATGGTAGGCTGTCCGTGAAATGCACTTTTAGAACAGACGATTTTCGAAACTCTGGGCGACGGTGAAGGTTTTGATTTTTACAAGTTTATTTTAGTTTTGTAGTATTGTATTAATGTATGCATTTAATTGATATATATGTATATAATATTATAATCATAGTGTTTTTCATTATGTACCAGTGCCAAATTTCATAATCCATATATGTTTATTGTATATAAGTATATAACACGAGTCCAACGTGTATAAAAGGAACACGGTTCGACGAAAATAATTTTACGTTTGATTAATTTAATTTCACCCAAGTCGCTATTTTTAACCGCATTTGCATAGGCACTTACATAATTTAATAGAACGTTTAACTTAATCGTCGACGTCGTCTATATTCATGTATAATATTATTTATTATAATAATTAACTATTAATTACTTGAAAGTGTAATTAATTTAACGGTTAACTGAATAACCGATATAATATTAAATACTTGCTGCTGCAGCAATAACTTGCTTATAAATTAATATTATTTTTTCAGATCATAATGGATCATATTATATTATACATTCTTAAACAGATTTTGTGATATTTTATCTCGTTTAAGCGTTGCTTGTCTTAAAGATACAGAGTTATTACAAGTATACACAAAATTATGATTTAAATTAAACACATTTACATACAACAATTGTTATGTTAACAGTAATAAAAGCAATAAAAAAACACAACTAATAGAATTTTTAATAGGCACTTACATAGAAGTTACTTACATGTAAATTAATTAATTATTTTGAACTATAATTATAATAAAATCCATAAACATTTTCTTAAGCAGTTAAGCATCCACAATTTGTGTCTAGGTCTATATTGTACCTAAAATATAAAGGTATCACCCTACTTCCTCTCAATTAGTTATCAGTTTATCACTTATCAATAATACAATAATAATAGTATATGTAAACAGTTCTGAGGGGGATCAAAATTGACTCAAGCCCCCAAAGATTGGGACCCCATGCTTCCGCGCAAAAAAAAAAAATGCTACCTCGGGTAATTGTAAAAACTATAGTCTATAGACTATAAGAACTATCAAGTATCAGCACATTTTTGAAAGTTATGTAAGTACCCAGATTTGATATCCCGGAATAAAATTTAAACTAAAACCTTTTTTCTTCCTTTGCACGATTCTGTCCCGGACCCAAAAACGTCTGTGAACGGACTGAGTCTCTACATGGGAATATAGGTTATAGCATTTTCAGAAGGTTTGTGGAATTGTAAAATTAGTGGAAATACATCTCAAGTTAGTACCTAGTACTTACAATGGAAATTATTATAATAAGCGAGACTTTAAATTTACCTATTACAATATTAACAATTTAATGACATGTTAGTAGGTAGTTTATTACGAAAAACGCACACAGAAAAATTATAGTCAAGATCAAGCACAATACTTAATGAAAAAAAATGTGGCTTGCTCCAAGATTACTAGGCATACGCACAGTATAATAATGAATTATTATAATCCGCGTACGTACTACGTATTTAGGTATAGGCACACAAGAAGGCGATATAAACATTTTATGCGCGCATATAAAATAATATAACAATATTGTGTTTCGAAGTATTATGACACGTATATGACGTAAATATAGTATAATATAAACTGTATAGGTATATGTGTGGTATGCACACATATAACCTATTTATATGCATATATATATACATATATATATATATAGAGAGAGAGAGAGATTAGAGACAATAAAATATTGTATAGGGTCATGGGGATATTATTGCTATTCTGCTATATACCGATAATATAATTATTGAGTTTCCATGCATGTTATATTGTATTATATTTCATTGGATCAACGACCATCGTACATATGTATTATAGAAGCTGCTGTTTTTATTAAGATTAAGACTGTGTGTACTGCAGTTATCGCGAGTGTTTGTTGATAAAAGGATAATATAAGGCAGCGGTACATATATTACCAGCGTAAATATTATATTAGGATATTACACATACAATGTTATATTATTATATAGATAGGTATTACACGTTAACCATATTATATGCTATATATTGTGATCCAATCGTTGAACATATAAATACATAAATAATATACGTTAATACGCCACATTATAGCCTATACATATTATAAGCCATATAATAATAGCTATATACTGCAGTATCTAAAGGTATATTATTAATAAGCGTCTCTTGGGAACTTAAGTATCTACTTTTAGAGAGGGAGGGAAGGAGGAAGAGAAAGAGAGAGAGAGAGAGAGAGAGAGAGAGAGAGAGAGAGAGAGAGAGAGAGAGAGAGAGATACTGAGAGAGAGAGAGAGAGAAAGAGATGTTGATAACGAGCTAAATGCGGCGCGTGTTACGGTGTTCTGTACATTATTCAAGTATATTGTGCAGTAATTAATTACAACAATGACGAAAAGTATCAAATTCGCACTTATTCGAGAAATATTCGAATTTATATTCTATATAATATCAAAATGAATGCAAATCGAGTGTTATTGCGTGCTATGCGGATATAATACATTATTATTATTACGCCGTGAATGTATGTACGCGGAATGTATATGTACGTCTGTAGATGATAATATAATATATATTTGTGTTACGATAAAAATATAAAATGTATATACCGAGAGTATCGTAGCTATA